CCCCCCCCTTCCCCAACTTCCTGTCCGTTCCCCCCCTTCCCCAACTCCATCTCCGTCACCCCCCTTCCCCAACTCCATCTCCTTCCCCCCTCTTCCCCAATTCCCTCTCCGTCCCCACCCCAATCCCCAACTCCCTCTCCTCCTTCCCCAATTCCCTCTCCGTCCCCACCCTCCGAATCTGTGTCACAGTCATCATCATCTCCGTCTCTCTCTTTCTCTGTCTCTATTTGTGTCTCTGTTTCTCTCTCTGCCTCTCCCCTCTCTCTCTGTCTGTCTCTCTCTTCCACTGTCAGTCTCTCTCCTTGTGTCTCTCTGTCTGTCTGTCTCTCTCTTTCTCACTCTCCCTCCTTCTCTCTCTCTCATGGTCTCCCACTCTGCCTCCTTCTCTCTCTCTCTCTTCCCCTTTCTCTCTGTGTCTCTCTCTCTCCTTCTCTCTCTCTCACACTTCCTCCATCTCTCTCTCTCTCACGCACACTCTCCCTGTCTCCCTCTCCAACACCCTCCCCGCCTCTCTCTCGATCTGTTTTTCTGACTGTCATTCTGTCTCTCTCTCTCTCTGCTTCTGACTACCTCTCTGTCTCCCTCCCCCCCACCTCTCGCTCAGTCTGCCTCTCTCCTGCTGTCTTATTTCTCCAATCTCTCTCTCTCTCTCCCCCTCTGAATCCTCTATCGTGATTCACTTTGGGAGGGTCGAGTTTGAACGCAGGATACGGGGTTAACGGCAGGATTCTGGGCAGTGTGGAGGAACAGAGGGATCTCGGGGTCCACGGCTGTAGATCCCTCAGAGTCGCCTCCCAAGTTTGATAGGAGGCGTATGGTGTGTGTTGGTTTTCATTGGGCAGGGGCATGGAGTTTAAGAGCCGCGAGGTCATGCCGCAGCTCTATAAACCCCTGGTTAGAGCACACTTGGAACATTGTGTTCAGTTCCGGTCGCCTCATTTATAGGAAAGACGTGGAAGCTTTAGAGAGGGCGCAGAGGGAGGTTTACCAGGACGCTGCCTGGACTGGAGGGGCAGGTCTTGTGAGGAAAAAGGTTGAGGGAGCTAGGGCTTTTCTCATCGGAGCGAAGAAGAGGTGACTTGATAGAGGTGGACGAGACGATGAGAGGAACAGATAGAGTGGAGAGTCAGAGACTTTTTCCCGGGGGCGGGAATGGCCCGGGGGTGGGGGGCATCACTTTAAGGTGATTGGAGGAAGGTGTAGGGGAGACGTCAGAGGTAGGTTCTTCACACAGAGAGAGGCGGGTGCCCTGCAGGCAGTGGGAATGGAGTCACATACTTCGGGGACTTTTAAGCGACTCTTGGGTCGGCACACGGAGGACAGGAGCAGGATAATGAATGGCCTGTGCAGTGATGTACTGTCCTCTGACCCACACAGAGAGGGAGAGCGCGCGGTCGGACCAGGCACAAACCCCGGGCTGTTCAGTCCAGCTACCTCCGCCCCCCCCCAACCCGCCAACTCCCCCAAACTTGGAGACACAGCAGGACTGATCGACCGAGGTGGGCGGCACACACACACACACACACACCCCGACTTACAAAGTGCGACACAGCTTAACCCGCAGGCCCCATCGCACAAGCAATGGCGTTTCTGGCAGTGCTCATCTCTCAGGCAGGG